TTCCCTAAACTTTTAAATGAAGTTACATTAGATTTAGCAAATCAAGTAAGTTTTTAATAATTGCAATTTTATAGAGATTTTTCCTTTCTTGTTTTCTTCATGAACCAAAGTTAACTGATCTAATTTTTCAACCAATAAAATCTTAGATAGCTAATCACATGTAACATGTTTTAAACTTTATCACCTAAAGGAAAAGAGAAACGATCCTTCCCCATCAACACTAACTATAGTCTTTGATGTAAAACAATTCACTAGTCAACGGTGATTAGAATCAGTGATCCTAATTTGGAAAAGAATTCAAATATACAATTTTTTTTTAATAACTTTATGAGAAGTCCCAATGACTCAGCCTGTCCCTTAACATTAAACCAAGATCTTGTTGGTGGAATATATCAAGATTTCAAAATTTCAAAACAATTGCATATCACCTTTTGTTTGATTAATTTTAGCAGGGGACGAGAATGAAATGAAGACGACTAACCCCTTGTGATAAGTCCCAGACATCATGATAACAACTAGAGCATGGCTATCAAGCTTGGTTGACCAGACAAGCTTTCCACTTGATCTTTCAACAGCAATAACAAGAGCAGGTCCACAGATTCCAATGATAACCAAATCATCTGCTATTGTTGGGGTCGCTGTTGCAACCATTGTGTTAACATTGGAAACAAATCCACTAGCATTAAGACCAAGCTCTTTCAAGTCCAGGTTCCAAATAAGAGACCCATCCAAAGCATTAACAGCATAGACATATCCATTCCAGCTAGGGAAATAGAGGGTTCCATCAACGATTGCTGGTGTTGCAGTTATATCTCTCCCTGCATAAAACTCCCACTTCAACTGCAAATTGCGAACTGTTTCTGGGCTGATTTTGGTTTCCCCTTCAGCAAATCTCCTACTATGAAGATCCCCACCATGGTTCAACCAGTCTTGTTTACACTAATGGCCCCTCCCAGAAATAACATCCCTTTCAGAAATAGCAGCACCCCACTGTAACCAGCAGAAAAATTAGTGTGATCACATGAGAGCAACAAGTTTAGAATGAGTTTCAAGGTCAGGGTGTGGGGAGAAAGAGACTTCCCCTTGAATCTGCACATGCCTGAGAGAAAAGGAGAAAAGTATATAGGAAAAGAACAGGAATATAGTCATTGAGAGGCATCGTTGAGACTTGGATGAAAGAAGGACATACAATGCATGAATTCTTCATCTCTTGGGTTAATATTATTTTTGCATCAGGGAAAATATGAACTTGTGGATATACTAGACAAACAATATAGAATCTTTAAACATTGTTTTATTAATTCTATACATATACCATGGAGATTTAGATAATATCATAATCAAATGATCTTTCTAGATTTGAATAACGGAAGACTAGCATTTTTCAAAAAGGCCAATGAAATAATTTCTTGTAAAATTCAGGTTAAAAATATACACTGGCTAAGAATGGTTAAAAGTTTGAGAAATTTAATATTAGATTTCTTTATTAGGGAAGCATATACCCTTAGGTTGCCCTAAATATACTTATGCTGCAGTGATTAAATAGTAGCGTCAAATGCAAACTGGAAATTGATTGCAAAAGCAAATAGACCACTCAACTGAATGTTGTACGATTTTACAATAGATTAATGCTTTCATTTCGGATTTCACACTTTAACTAAGACTTAAATCAGTTTTTGGTGTGTGAGTGTGTAATTGTTATTTATTATTATTATCAATGAACATGCTTCTACCCTGCATAGCATCCAACTCCAGCCTATGGAGAGATTTCCAGACCCAACACAAACTCTATAAGATACCTAAATTCTAAAATATCCAATTCTTTGACTGCAAGGTGGGGATTGGGAAAAATCTTAAAAATTGTTAAATACCTGTAATACTATCAACGTGGTTGGGTTGATCATGGCCGCTCCAGATGGGTCCAGTGAACTCCAGAATCCATTAAGCTAATGGGGAGTTGCTATGATCAACCATTGAGAAATTTGAAATCTTTTTCAGTTGGAAATTGGGTGGAACGAGTGGCAGGGGCAGTTTTGTTGTTCCTTTGACAAGAATTAGAGGAAAATCAGTGATTGAAGCTCCGCTGGATAGACAATTCATTGGAGGGTTTTCAGGAAGTCTAATAAGTGAAATTGGCAGCACAGAGCCATTGCACTCAACTCAGGGAAGATTTGGACAAACAAAAGAGCCTCGGGGAAGTTGGAGCCACCAAAATGGTGTCGTTTCACCGCATTGAATTTTCTCATTAATATTTTAGAAAAAAATGATGTTATACCATGATGACAGAATTGCAGGGGAACGCCTCTGTTTCCCGCATTAAGATGAGTAAAGTAAAACTTTTCCCCAGATTGTGTACGCTCAAACCAAACCCTAGTTTTTAAATTGCGAGATCTGCGTTCAAAATCAAGAGAGATCTGAACAATTTCTTTAGGTTTTCGTCCTTATTGTAGCGAGGTAACATCATTTGAAAGAGCTTTTATCTATTTTTTTGCGAGCAAGAGTACTTCCAGAAAAATGACTTCATCGTTGTCAAATTCATTTTCTGATGCCGAAAAAGAACTCAAAGCACCGCCATTGGCAGAACGCAAGAGAAGGAAAGGCGTCATACTTCGCGGGGAGAGAGGTTTTGTTGAAAGATGATACCTATTCAGGTTCTGGGATCGGGACTTCAGTCATGGATTAGACTGGGTCTCTTGAAGAAAAGTCATAACTGCATCAGCACGAAAGATCTGTAGCCTTTTAATTTAATATACACTGCCAAGCTGAAATTCTTGACCATGTTAATTGCAATGTCGAGGAAATTCCTCTGGGATTAAGTGAAAATTCAGCAGACAAGAATTCATGTTGAACACGCTGTGTCTATTTGCTTTTAGTAATGTGTTGTTACCCAAAGGCATAGGATTCCCATCACCACATTTTCTCAGAAACCAAGGATGAAAAAAATAGAACATTGTTCGCACAGATCATGGATCTTATTTGTCAATTTTCTTAAGTAGAATAAACATTCATTCAAAAAGAAAGAATTTTCATCATTCTCCATTGACTTCACTAGTTGACTTTGATGCAACGGAAGTATCCATCCCCCTTGGGGGAAATGAATACGTAGCTAGTGCTTGTATTTAAATTCAGAAGGCAGGCAAATAGGAGAGGTAACATATTATACAAAAGAAGCTTAAACATGACATCCTCATCATCTGTTCTAACTGCTTCCATTGTGGCAACAGTTGTAAGGATTATTTTTCTTGCAGTAACCTCGATAATGTTAGTAGCAGCAGATTCACAAGATTCAGAAGCTCAGGCATTGTTGGAAAGTCGGTGGTGGAGTGGCCATGTCGACAACATTGCAAATCATTGTAGCTGGCCTGGTGTAAAATGCAACCACGATGGAAGTGTCATCGAGATTAGCCCTCCATATAATTATTATTATTATGAGGAAGAAATATTTACAAAGATGAACTTTTCTGCCTTCCCCAATCTTCTTCGGCTTGATCTTAATGACAAAGGTTTTAGCGGGAGCATCCCTCCTGGTTTGGGTCATCTGACCAAACTTAGAAAACTATCTCTTGGGGGCAACCAACTCAATGGATCCATTCCACCAGAAATTGGGAAGCTACATAATTTGGTTACTTTGAATCTTTCTAGCAACTCTCTTTCAGGTGAAGTTCCTTCCACTTTAGGCCGATTAGCCAATTTGTTTACTATTAAACATCCTCCATCATGCTTTCAGGTCGTCCAACTGACCAATCTGACATATCTGTCACAGGTTCCATCCCTCAAGAATTTGGAGACATGAAGAATCTCAGCTTTCTAGGCATAGATAAAAACCAACTTAGTGGTCCCCTACCTCCAACTTTAGGTCTTTTATCCAAGTTGAAGCACCTAAATCTTCAGGAAAATCAAATCAGTGGTTCTATCCCCTCAGAAATAGGAAACATGAAGAGTCTCATCTACCTAAATATGGTGCAAAACCACATAAATGGTTCCATCCCCTTGGAAATAGGAAATTTGAAGAATCTAGCTTACCTCGATCTTGGTTCGAACAGATTGAGTGGTCTCATCCCCTTCCAAATTGGTCGTCTTTCTATGCTCTTGAAATTCTATATTGACCACAACTTCATCAGTGGAGAGATACCTTCTGAGCTTGGCAACTTAACAAATCTATTGACCTTGGATCTCAGCCACAATTGTCTTACAGGTACAACGATCCTTTAGCACACTTCTTTATTTGAATTCAATTTGTGATATACCTCTAGGGGAACAAACTTGGATAATTTGTTTGCTTTGATTTTCACTCATTTATTTTATTTTTCTTTAACCAATAATTAGTTAAAATAATTTGTTCATAAATTGCTTCAAAGTAAGAACAAATAATTAGTCAAATCCTTCCAAAATTCCTAGTGACAAGGATGTGTTTTACAGGTTCGATCCCTCCTACTCTACTTCGTCTAACCAATCTGACCCACTTGTATCTTGATTCAAATATTTTAGAAGGTGATATACCAGGAGATATTGAGAATTTGACATCTTTGCAATATTTGAACCTCTCACAAAACGGATTGAATGGACCTATCCCTATTCAGCTTGGGTATTGCTCAAATTTAAAGGAATTGTCATTGAGCAACAACATTTTAAGTGGAAGCATTCCCCTTGAATTAGGCAGTCTCATTACCCTTTCAAGAATTGATATTGGCCACAACTCCATTAGTGGAAATATACCTTCGCAACTAGGAAATTTACTAAACTTGAAGACCTTGGATCTCAGCCACAATCGTCTTACAGGTATAATGATCTTTTAGCACACTTCTTTATTTGAATTCAATTTGTGATATATATAGGTTTAGGGTACCAACCTTGGGTAATTTGTTTGCTTTGATTTTCACTCATTTATTTCAATTCCTTTAACCAATCTAGAATATCTAAATAATTTGTTCATAGATGCTTCAAAGAAAGAACAAAATAATTAGTCAAATCCTTCTAAAATGTGGTAACAAGGATATGTTTCACAGGTTTGATCCCTCCTGCTTTGCTTGATCTAACCAGTCTGAACTACTTGTATCTTGATTCAAATCTTTTAGAAGGTCATATACCCATTGATATTGGGAATATGGGAAGGTGCATCTCTCGTAATAGATTGAGTGAATCCATTCCTAGTCAGTTTGGGAATTGCTTGAAATTAGTGGAACTATCATTAAGCAACAACCACTTAAATGGAACCATCCCCATTCAAATTGGCTATCTCTATAGCCTCTCACTAATTAATATCAGCCACAATTCCATCAGTGAAGAGATACCTTTTCAACTTGGGGATTTACAAAATTTGCTGGTATTGGATCTCAGTTACAATAATCTCTCAGGCTCTATTCCAGATAACTTGCTTCATTTAACTTCTTTGAGGGGCTTGTATCTTAATTCAAATCTTTTAGAAGGTCATATACCTAGCCGATTTGCGGATACATGTTCTTTGCGTTATTTATACCTCTCCCAAAATAGATTGAGTGGACCCATTTCAACTCAACTTGGAAATTGCTGGCATTTAGTGGAGTTGTCATTGAGCAACAACTCCTTAAGTGGGAGCATTCCCATTCAAATAGGCGATCTCTTTATGCTCTCACGAATCGATATCAGCCACAATTCCATCAGTGGAAAGATACCTTCTCAACTTGGGAGTTTATTTTCCTTGGAGGCCCTAGATCTCAGTTACAATAACCTCTCAGGCCAAATCCCAATTGAATTGCTTCATTTTCCAAAAAGGTCTTTCATAGGAAATAAGGGATTATATGATCACCATCTTAGGAACAAAGGGTTGAGGCGTATTAAAATTATTCTTCCCACCACCATTTTTGTTGTCTTGGTATCTTTGGTTTTGTTGTTGCTTTCTAGAAGAATACATAGAGGTAAAAATAGGGAATCATATCCAAGTCCAATAAAAAATGGGGATATATTCTCAATATGGAACTTTGATGGAAGGATTGCATATGAAGACATCATTGAAGCAACTGAGGATTTTGACATCAGATATTGCATTGGCACTGGTGGGTATGGCAGTGTTTATAGAGCACAATTGCCAAGTGGCCAAGTGGTTGCTTTGAAGAAACTACATCGAAGGGAAGCAGAAGAGCCAACCTTTGATAAGAGTTTCAAGAATGAGGTTAAGATCTTGACAGAAATACGACATAAAAACATTGTGAAGCTTCATGGATTTTGCCTGCATAGGAGATGCATGTTTTTGATCTATGAATATATGGAAAGAGGAAGCTTGTTTTGTGTGCTTAGAAATGATGATGAAGCTGTGGATCTGGATTGGAACCTAAGAGTGAATGTCATAAAAAACATAGCACATGCTTTGTCTTACCTTCACCATGATTGCATCCCACCCATCATTCATCGGGACATATCAAGCAACAACATTCTATTGAACTCAAAACAGGAGGCTTTTGTTGCTGATTTTGGAAATTCTAGATTTTTGGATCTTGATTCATCCAATTATACTGTACTTGCTGGCACCTATGGTTATATTGCCCCAGGTTTTC